GTGACACGCCAAGAAACTCGCCAAGTTGTAACCTGGGCTGTCCGTTTTCAAATCCCCGGCGAAAACAGGGATCCGGATGCATTATACACCTGAACATTGCAACTTGTAAATGGTGGTTTCCCTTTATTTTGGTGGGATAAGTGGAAATGCCCAGAAAACAATAAAACGCTAAACTGCTGGGAACCACCAAGTAACGGCAACCTTTCGGTGATACCCCACTCAGACTCGTCCCCCACAGTGGAACTCACCCTGTTCGTGGGTTGGCGAACCGCATGCTAACTTGTCCCAACATCCAAGTAGAACACCGGTCGATCCATCCAGCAGGCTTCGGCCAAATTGGGGGTGCTTGTCCAGTCGGGAGAAAGAGGTGTGCCCTGGTGCCCTAAAGGCTCTAAAGGCCCGTTGACAACTGCGCAGAAAACCGTCCACACAACGAGAGTTTGGACCTTCCGTTGAAGGTCCCTCGTTCCCTCTCGAAAGGTAGATATCATTAGGTTATTCAATTCCAACCTGGGCATCTTCCAAAATAGTGAACTCCTTGACACCACAAGGGGGTCCTCCCACGTCCTCCTACCTTCGGGCGATTTGGGTGCTGGTCCTCCAATTCAATTTAATCTCCCTTAATGGAAACAGAAACAGATCAACCCAAAGCCCCCGATTTGAAACTTTCTATGGCTCTAACCGATATATGACAATGACAAGCTTCTGTGCATGGACAAAATCCGCTCGCACCTAAGAAGCCCTGGCTTATGATGATTCCCCTGTAAATACCACAAACAATGGCTTCAACCATGGTGTCTTCGGTGGTGCGAACGGATTTCATCCATCCACAGTAGCTTCCCGAGCTTCCCCCGCATACAGTTGAGCATTCCCCTTTGGGGCCAGTTAAGGAAATCGGGGTCAAAACTCGGTCAAACTGTCTCCTCCCTTTGCTTCAAGCGCAACAATATGTCTGTACCTCCAATGCCATTGTTTCCTTTAAACCAGGGGACAGGCAAAACATGGCCAAACACTGTAGGGAAACAACAAGAGCATCACTACCACGGAAAAGAAAACAGGACACACATACGACAAAACATGGACAGCTAAGCCACATAATCTTAAACCTTTGCACATGCATGAGACCCCAGACAGCTCGCCATAAGGACCCATTTCGGCAATTGTCTGAAGCAGAATCGGTTGAAAATCGGTACACCCATTTCTCGGTAGTCAAACGGTTTTCCTGCAACCACAAACCTTGGGCCTCGTGTATTTACCCGAGCTCAACCCGGTGACTCTTGGTTTTTGACATTCACATATGCTACTCCAAAACTCCTGCTGTGCATGGTGACGCGAAATCCAAAATCCGTTCGTCCACCGTTCAGAAACCCTGGTTTCGGATGATTCCCCCTGTACCCAATAAACGCTATGGTTTCAGCTACGGTTTGTTTGGTGCTGCGAACGGATTTCGTCCATCCACAGTAGGAAGCCAAACCCTGGCCATTGGGGATCGGTGCCATCCGGTCGCCCTCCGGTCGCCCCCAATGGCTCCAGCGCTTTGCCAAAGCCACGCGCCATAGCCTCGAGTTGGGCATGCCAAGAAATCCAACTTTTCTGACTGCAAGGATCCGGATCCTTGTCTAGGTCCTCCAGTAGAGAGGTTGGAATAAGGGTACCAACTTCTTTCTGTAGTCTATTTCAGTACGGGGAACCCTCCCCCAAAAAATGGGTAAAAGGGCGGACCTGGTTCCCGCAAACGGCGCAACACCCATGCAAATACGTTCATGGTTGAAACGAATCTGTGCATCTTTCTATAATGCCGAAAGCTGAATTAACAGATCCCCGAGCAAAGGACCTTTATCATGGTGAGCTCGCTATGCCCCCAAGCAAGCTCGCTATAAAATAGGCAGAACAAATGGGTATCAACCCCTAGGACCAAAACCTCCGACTCTCTTGAGAATCCCCGGCGGCCAAACCAACAAGAATCCAGCTGGATGTTGGCTCCCGGCTCAAGAAGTGGGGATGGATTAAGACGAGCTGGACCCGGCATAAAACAAACACCAAAAGGATTGGGTGTGCGGCCACGTTAGCAAGTGGTGGGTGACCTAGGTAATAAGCAGCAGCTAAGTCCTCCAAAGTGGAGTTCACCCGGGTTTTAGTGGGTTGGCAAACCACTTACTAACTTTGGCCGGACATCCAAGTATAGCTTTGACAAGTCAAGGGATTTGGTCCCTGCGATGCGAAAAAAAACAAGCTCAGGTCATATCCCCAACAGCATGCCAGTGTTTTTTTTAGTGCTCGCACCACCCGCAGCCCTTGCAGAACCTCGTGGAACCCACGTGGAACCCTCGTTGAACCCTGGTGAAACCCTGGTGGAACCCTGGTGCAACCCTGGTGGAACCCTGGTGGAACCCTCGTGGAACCTTAACTCAGGGCCGCCCCGACCACCCCGGAGCCTACCTGGGTTCAGACCCCAAAGCTTTCAGCTGTTGGGGAAACATCGGGACACACACACTCCGCCATGTAGAGGTGCTCCAGCGCTTTTGAGACCGACCCATTTCAACCCCAAAGCTCTCGCCATGAAACTCTAAGCGCTGTCCAAACTGATCCCCAAACAGTGTAACTTGTGGGTTAAATGAACCACCCCCCCCCCTAAACCAACCCAAAACCCAGAAACCTAAGGAACCGAGGGGTGGAAACTGTGAAGTAAACCTCGACTTACGTCATGCTTCTAAGACTGGTTGTCTGAGGAAACACGGCAAACCGATTCACCATGTGGTTTTGCTTACCTGAAATATTCAGGGAATCCAATGTAGCTTCCTGATTTCGGAACACAAACAAAGATGTCGAGCAGTGGACAATGTGGGAAGCAAACTCCGGCCCTGGTAAGCCGTGCTCCAATTTTTCCCCATTAGCCATGTGGTTTGATCATCGTTTGAGGCTCGGAGCGATTAGTTAACATTAATGGACACCTTGTTTCTCTTGGGCCTCCCCCTTTTGGGGAAATGCAAAGGGACCCGCTCCCAAGCTGATTTCTACACGTTGAAATGGTCCGAAACACAAAACAACTTTCGCCAACTGATCAGGACTCGTGCAGACCCGACGACCTTCCACAATGCTTCCGCAAATCACGTTCAAAAACAAAAATATACGGCGAGGAAACTTCACGAAGCCACTGAGAGTTTTCGGCTTCTCGAGTTTGCCGATGGAATCTATATATAGTTTGTTTCTTGCCGTTTTGGGATGAATTGCACCCTTTGGACAAAACCCCAAATAGTCCGCAGCAATGTGTTGTCTGGGCATAACACCAACTTGTGCAATTTCCAAGTGGGAGTATTCCCAGGCTGGAATACACAAATTCGTAGAACAAACCTTTTCTTGCCCAAGGGCTCGGAGAAAAAAACAAAACAAAAAAAACACAACGAACCACAACAGAGTAAGCTTTTGCTGGGACAGTGACCAACCAGTAACCAGGTTCAAACTTTGTGCTTCAGGCCTCAAGAATCCATTGGGAACAATGTTTGTCATTTCAGTCATGGCCATTCATCAAACAGGGAACAGCAAACAAAACACCTTGAAGTGGAAGTCTTCTGACCGGGTTGGCCATCGGAATTGACAAATATGTGGATCGGGTCCAGTCCCCACCAAGGCATTTAGCCGCCAGCAAAGTCCCGTTCCGAACCCAAAGCCTCCAATTCGCTGCTTTTCGGGCCCTCACAACGCTCCTTTTGGGGCCTGCACTGGAGAGGTAACCAGCACTGAAAGCTCCCAACTTTGGAATTGCACTCAACGCCTTTTGTGGCCATTCGAAAGGCAAGGCGCAGCTTTCTTTGCTTGAGTTTTGCTTTTCTTGTGACACTCCCAAAAGAGGCAACTGGGAGGTTCCAAGCCAACCAGAGAAGACTTTGCGGCTCAAGTTTTGCTTCTTCTGACACCCCCCCCACCCCAAGAGCAGAGGCACCCTCGGAGGTTCCAAAGCGAGACTTTTGGATCTGAGGTATTGGCCACCAAAGGACGTCATGGCCAAGGCCGGGTCGAGAACCGCAGGGTAGTCCTGTCGAGAGATCTTCAGCTGAAGAGAGGCTGAAGCTGAACCCGCAAGGGGTTCTCTCTAAAGGCATCCGCAAATTCATGAGTCGGGTGTCTCCCATCAAAGAATCATGGAAGTTTGTTGGCATCGTCCCTTGCGAAGAAAAACAAAACACGGACAGCTGTAAGTGGGAACTTTTGACTAGGATTTTTATCCGAACCCCAGCACCAACCGCTGTGAGTGCGGCACTGAACTGGGGGAAATGTAACCCATGGCTACACATTGATCAAAAGCGGAGAACCAAAAGGAATTTCAGGTTGATTCGCTTTTGGGCAACTGAGACTCGGCTGTTTCTTTGGCGGTAAGGGACACTGGTGAGCCCCTTGGTAGATATGGCCTTTGTTGTTCGATTCTCATCCCAGATCCAAAATTGTCCAAAATCCTGAGACACAACTGAGTTTGCAAAAACGGATCAGAACACCAAACCATATGCTGACACCACCTCCTTTCGGCTTTCCTTCAAAGGAACTGGGCCAGAGAAGCTGTCGGTGGGATGCTCCCTTGATTCAAGGAGCGTTGACGTTGCATAAACCGTGGGGGGGGGGGTGCTCCCTCCACAAGTGAACCAGCGGGTTATTGATCTCCACCCCAAATGTTTTCAATACACCCCAATGCAAGTCTGAAAAAACGGACTTTCCATAAAAACCTGGACGTTTGGTTGGAGTACGTGACATTCGGGCTTGACTTGCGTCACTACCTTGCACTGGAACACATGTAGAATCCCTGTGAAAGCCCACTGGATATTTCAGGGGGCACTCGATTATTGCAACTGAATGGTGGTTTTCCTTGACACTGCCACTGTTGGAGGTTCCAAAAAGGGAAACGGAGATTGATTTAACCCCCTCATAAGAATTTATTCGGATGTGGCATTTCTCAACCCAATCCGAATATGCGGGGGTGAACGGGCCCAATCATCCGAAATGCGTGACCC